GGCCTCACACACCCTGAGCACCGCATAAATTCCTGCTCGGTTGACTTCCGTTGCTGAAGCACCGTCCTCCAGGGAGGAAACACGGATTCTGGAAGGTCTTGACTCAGGGCCTCGTGGTGTGCTCACTCATGGGGTTTGTGGTCTCTGGAAGGGGCTCAAATCAGGGAATGGTTTTGGATGTGTGGTTCAGGCTGATGGAGACAGCAGTGGGTAGAGCGCTTCCAATCATCTTAAGAGAGAAGAGCTCTTGACGCATGATAGCGAGCACACACATTCCCTGGGCACAGAGGGCTGGGGTGCTGGGCAGCTAACGCAGTGAGTCATAGACCAGCAATGATTTTGGGTGGTTGATTAAGTTGCTTTTTAATTACTTTCAAAATAAAAGCATGCTGATTCTCATGACCGTTTTTGTTTTTTGTTTTTCTATGATGGTTTTATTCAAATTGAGGCCACTGGCGAGAAGCCTTATTGAGATTCCCATGCCCACAGACTAGGTGTGTTTTCCTAAAAGTCATGGAGTGGTTTTCGAATTGAAGCATTATGGTCCTCTTCTGGTGCTTCAGACTCTCCACCTTAAGTTGTCTTAGATCAGCAAGTACTACTGGGCTTGAACTATGCCAAATGTCCTAGAATGCTTGCTAAAGCACAGGGCTGAGCCTTCTCAAACCTCCTCATTTGCTAGGTCTGCAGGTCAGTAGGTGAGACACAAGAATGTGCATTTCTAACAAGTGCCCTCATCATGTGGATGCTGCTGGTCTGGGGGCCACATTTTGGGAGCCCTTGCTGTTGAACAGCAATGCAAGGTAGGGCCTTGTCTTCGGTCAGGTTTCCAGAGCCAGAGCCTGAGGCAGGGGTTGAGGACCTACATACATTTTATAAATGTTGCTGTAATATGGTTCATAGGCTTTCTTCTGCTTCTGCTGCTGCTGCTGCTTCTGTTTCCTCCTCCTCCTCCTCCTCCTCTTCTTCTACAAATCTTTTTTTATTCAGCTAGCAGTCTGATCACACATGGGCCAACAACACTCAAATAATAAACATAATCAGATGTGAAAGATTGGTCTTCAAATATGATAGCCAATGATGCCATGCTTGCCTATGATCTCTCCGACATAAAACCACATCCACACCTCAGTGGCCGCCAAACCAGTCAGCATAGCTTTCTTAACTGTGAGCTATTAGAAGCTATGAGTCTGAGCACTATTGACTATCTTTGTTCAGGCTCTGAATAGCTCTAGGAATCTCAGCAGGGAGTGAGGGGGAGGAACCAGCTAAGCCTTGGGGTGGTGCCAAAATGTGGCCAATTGAGGCTTTGATTAAGTCACAGCAGTGTTTACCAGCACCAGGGTCTTCTCCACAAGGTTATGGACAAATTGGGCCATGGTTCTGGGATGGAAAGTCTGTTGCCCCAGCTTTTTCCTTTTGATAACATAGCATTGTAAGCACATTCTCATCTTGCTCTATAGACTTCATATTGATTATTTTAAAGGCCCTACACTACATCTAATACATCTACCTCCATCTCCCCAACTAGTCTGTGGTGGGCAGAATAATATCCCCCCTACAAAGATTTTCATGTCTTAATCCCTGGAACTTATAAATATGTTACCTTACTTGGCCAAAGGAACTTGGCAAATGAGATTAAGTTAATAACCTTGAGATGGGGAGAGTAGCCTCAATTCTCCAGGTGGGCTCAGTCCCATCCAAGGGTCCTTACAAGAGGGAGGAAGAAGGGTCAGAGTCAGATAAGGAGATGTGATATTGGAAGCAGAAGTTTGAGTGATTCAGGCCGTGAGCTAAGGAATGCACGTAGCCTCTACAAGCTGAAAAAGGCAAGGAAGAGAATTCTCCCCTACAGCTTTCAGAAAGGAACCCAGCCCTCCCACCACCTTGATTTTAGCCCAGTGAGGCCAGGTTGGACCTTCAACCTCTAGACCTGGAGAACAACACACTTGTGTTACGTAAGCCCTGAATTTGTGGTCATTTGTTGCAGCAGCCACAGGCAGCTCATGCTCAGCCTTTGTGTATCTGATCATGGCAGTCCCTCCGCCTCCCTGATAGAGATGAGGCACCTCCCCAAAGCTGGTGTTTACTGTATGTCGTTATATTCTGAGCATTGTACTAAGTGATGGTTATGTTATTTAATTTCTTTCAGTAACCCTCTGAAGTAGGTACCCTCATTGTGTACATATCATGGTGGGAAACGAAAGGATGTGGAGTAACTGGCTCAAAGCTACAGGAGTAACCAGAACTGGGATTCAGGTGCTGGGACTCTGTGGTGTGATTCTAGTGGCTTTCTGATCACTGATGCCACAGTGATGGCAACCATTGGGTCTTGGGGAGGGCTGCCTTGATCCTGCTCATTACTTATCATAACTGGTGTCGTTTATGAAACATAAACTCCACACCCCACTCTGCCCAAATGCTTTCCATACTGTACTCTCATTGCACCGATGACAAGGCAGCATTTTTGCAGGAGGTGTTATTGCCTGCCTTTTATGAAAGAAGAAACTCAGAGTATGCAGCCGATCCACTGTAGGTCAGCCTGGGGATGCAGGATGCAGGTCCAGACCTGTCTGATCTCAGCCTGTGCAGACTCCAAAGTTCTTAACCACACCTGGAGCCACATGACCAGAGCAGGTGATTTCTGTCTTCATCAGCTTTATTGTCAGTTCATCACGATGCATCATCTCTGCACAGGAATCCACGAGACCTTTCAGGCCTTATATTTGTGCTTCACGAAAAGTAATCTGCGCACATCATCTTGGATAACTGTCTCTGTCATTCAATAGCAGTCATAGATGGAGGCATGGCCCCACATCTGAATTAGAGCTGATGGGGCTCACTGTCGCCCAAGGGCAAGATGAGACATGGCCAGACTTTGGACAGGTCAATGGTAGCCCTTGAAATTCCCTCGAGCTGTGTCCTGACCCCTTTGCAAATCTGCCAGATTTGAAAATATTAAAGCACATTACGTTCCTCATAAAATGCTTCAAGTTACATTCATGCAGTGCTTGAGGATGGGGATATGTTCTGAGAAACGACGTTGGGGATTTTGTCATTGTGCGGACCTTGTAGAACGTACAAACCCAGATGGCACAGGCGCCTACGCACCCAGGCCGTATGGTATGGCCTCTCGTTCCCAGGCTACAAACGTGTATAGCGTGCGGCTGTGCTGAATACTGTGGGTAATTGTAACACAATGGTAACTACTTGTGCATCTGAACATATCTGAATGTAAACAGGGTACAGTAAAAATACAGGCTAGAATATAGGAAATGGTGCACGTGTATTGGACAGTTACTATGAATGAAACCTGCGGGACTGGGAGTTGCTCTGGATGAGTGGGAAGAGAGTGGTGAGTGAACATGGAGGCCTAGGACAGTATTGTCTACTACTGTAGACCACAAGCATTGCACACTTAGGCCACACTGCACTTATTTAAATAATTACACTATGACGTCCTGATGGCTACAGCGTCACTAGGTGAAAGGATTTCTCAGCTCCATTATAATCTTATTGGACCACTCTCCTATATGCAGTCCTTCGTTGACTGAAAGGTTGTATGCAGTACGTGACCGTATATCTAAAATTTTCATAAACCTTTTTGATGAGTGGATAAAGGCAGGACTTTGGGGAATGGCTTTCATAAATCTCTTCTTTCTCATCACCTGCACTAGCAGTTGGGGAGCCATTTATTACAGCCCCTTGAAAAATCACCTTCCCTGGAGTATTTCCATTGCAGAGGCAGAGTGGTCACCCTGGGCTGCAGAAACTGGGCCTCTTCTTGGGCTTGCTTCCTACTTCCGTGCTCACACTGCCTCCCTGGGTTTGGTTCATGTTTCTACATCAGCAACCTGACAAAGGTCACTGTTAGAGACAGTGGGGGCTGTGTCTGCGTGAGGCCCTGGCAAACTCTGCAGTGCTGCTGACTTGCATCTAAGAGAAAGCTTCTGTGCAGGGCTCCACGAGGCATTCAGAGCAGGTGCGGTGGATGAGGAATTCAGGTGAAGAGTGATCTGTAGATGTGTCCACTGATATTAAGCCAGTGATTGGGGGATCCTGGCCTAGAACCCCATTTCTCCAGTGTTTAGTCTACTGCTCTGGGCAGTTGGACCTGACAATATCCTTAGCTATCTCTGTGGCAGACACTCACAGAAAGGCACATGTGGGGGATTTTACATAAAGCATCTCATGATGTTATCACTAAATTATCCTCAGAGGGTCTAAAACACTTTAATTTTTATTTTTATTTTCTTATTTTTTTTGAGGCGGAGTTTCCCTCTTGTTACCCAGGCTGGAGTGCAATGGCGCGATCTCGGCTCACCGCAACCTCCGCCTCCTGGGTTCAGGCAATTCTCCCGCCTCAGCCTCCCGAGTAGCTGGGATTACAGGCACGCGCCACCATGCCCAGCTAATTTTTTGTATTTTTAGTAGAGACAGGGTTTCACCATGTTGACCAGGATGGTCTTGATCTCTTGACCTCGTGATCCACCCGCCTCAGCCTCCCAAAGTGCTGGGATTACAGGCTTCAGCCACCGCGCCCGGCCTTAAAACACTTTTATATCAGTTTCTGAGTCATCCATGCCCCTTCCAAGTAATGGTTGCAGTCAGAGGCTGAATGAAGGTCAGTTTTGTATTTCAGCCATTCCTACCTCTAGGAATGCTGGGAAATCTCTTCTGCTGAGCATAAACTCGGGACACTGGCAAATATGATAAGGCTAAAATTATGCAATTATGACTGAGTCTAAGGAACATAAGGGATTGTATGGAAGAAGAAATCTTGCAGTTGAATAAACTAATAAAGAACCCAGGGAGGTTAAATGGAGGGAATGGAATAAATGAGAGCTATATGTAAGATTTTTGTCATGGTTAGACTATCTGGATTTACTATTGGCTGATAGGATATGTGAGTAGTGAGTATTAAATTTTATATAGAGTTATATATTTTATTTTATTCTTTTATATACTGAAAAGTAGCAATATTATCTCCTTTTGCCTAGGATTACGGGACAACTACCACAGTACAAGCAATCAAATTGCCCTTAAAAATCTCCAGTCTGATGTTACAGAGGCGAAATCTGACTTCACCAAGGTAACATACATTTCTAACTTCTAAAACAATCAGCAAAATGCACCCATCCATAAAACATAATCACTGGCCTACTTGTGATGTGATTGCATTGTATTTTATTTAGTCAAAAATTGAATTAATGCAGCAAACAATCTAACCATCAATGACTAAGACTTGTTACACGAAACCATACACGGTAGCTTTAATTATTCTTTTATTATCTCCAAAAACAATTTGTAAGTTTGCAGTCTCTTAGAATATGGCGATTCCTCTCAATTTTCAACTAAAATTTGTCCGCTGGAGACAGAGAAAGAGAGGGAGAGAGAGGGAGAATTATGCCATACAGCATTTTCAAGACGTGAAAGAGGTTCTCTGAAATCTAACAAGCTGGTAGAGGTTGTTAGAAAGGACTGCAAAAGTGGCAGTGGTCTGAAATAGGGAAGAAAATTAGAGGTCATATTTATAAAACGAAATATTTCAGATTCTGGGAACAAAAGAGCTTGGTGCACAGTGGTTAATATTGTCAGCGTGTCGTACACCAGGCTCTGACTAATGACTGAGGCAGTCAATCCTTCCCATAGCCCCCTGGGACAGGTACTGCTCTTATATTAATACCTAGAAATGAGAAAACTACAGCTTCACTGGTGACTTGCCCCAGATCTCACAGCTCGTATAGCCCGCCTGGCTCTGAAGCTTTTGTTCTTAGCTTACTCTAAAGGACTGTCGTGGTGGAAGACTCTTTTGAATTAACAAGATTTACAGTATGGACTTTCTCACCTTAAAAAACTGTCCAAGATGTTACAGTTTACAAGGCATCTGCTGTCTGTCACAGATGGAGATTTCACTGCCCATTTTTGTAGTTCTAAGAGAGAGTGGAATTATAAGAATCAATCTCTCATAACAGATTAAAGTAGCAAAGATATCTGTTAAAATATTTTTTTTTTTTACCCAAAATGCTTGTGTTGGGTATTACTTTGATTTAGGTCTGCATTTAATAAAGCTCTACGTTTCCACCAGCTACTCGGTGCCTGAAATCCCACAAGATGGAGAAAGGATGTTATTTGGGGTCCTGAGATTTAGTTATCAATTTTTAAAGCCCTTTCTACGTGAAGAAGCACCAAGCTCACTGTCTTAAGATGTAAAGATGCATGACTATAATTAATCTATTCCCTGGAAGCAGGAGCCGGAGCCCTGGGTTTGGGGAGGAAAAGGAGTGGAAAGAGCAGTGCGTCATTCAGAGCTGTCCTTGGGTGGACATGCCAGGTAGGAGGAGAGAGACTGAGTCAGGGAAGGGTCTGGGGATAAAACTGCTGCATTCCACCGCTACTCTTTTTTAAGAAAGATGTCAACTGAGGATCTTTGTCACCTGTTTTTCCCATTGAGGTGGCAAATTTCAGCATTTTCCTGTTGATTTCAAAAATTAATCAGAGTTTTGTCACTAATGTTGATGTTGATGTTTGTGGCTAAACATTAGTTTAGTCACTAATGTTGAATGTTGATGAGATGACATTCACACAGTCCCAGCAACACACCCCTTGTGGCTATGTGGCTGTATCCTTGTAATACAGACACACACACACACACACACACTCTCTCTCTCTCTCTCTCTCTCTCTCTCTCTATCTATCTATCTATCTATCTATCTGTCTCTCTCTATTTCTTGGTCATTATCTGTGACTGAGTTCAATGTCTCTGGAAATTATACCTCCTGATCACCTGCTCTGGAATCATCTGGATCATCTAATTTGGTCAGAAGGTGACTCAAATTTTCCCCCCTAACTTGGAACATTTAAAGCCTGTCCCTGGGCATGTGCTAGAAGGCTGCCATAAGAGGATGAAACACGCCAGTGACTGCCCTGCTGTCCTGCCACCGTGGCTGCTGTAAGTCACCACCTCTCCTCCAGGGCCCGCACGAGATTGACCACTTGTCCTTCCAAAATGCATTCAAGCTGTAGCAGTGATAGGAAGTCAGCTTTTCTGGCAAATCATTATTTAAAAGGAGTAAATATGGAGCAGAGTTATCTTCTTTAAAAAATTTTTGAAATTTTCCTCTTAATAAAAGTAATAGCGACCCTATGCAGACACAGGAAAATACAGAAACGTATAAATAAGAAAATATTTATCTGTACATTTTCTCCGTGGATTTTGACATAGGACTGTGATGCATATTAACTTTGATAGCTCTCTTGTATTATTCTCTTATAATATCCCATCACAAGCAATTCCTCATGTCATTTAAGTTATTCATAATTTGTATTTTTAATTTCTACAGAATATAAGATGAAGTTGTGCAACCATGATTTACTTCCCCACTCCACTTTAAAAAAAAAACAAACTGGTTCTTGGTGGTTGTCAGAGAATGAGGAAGAGGGACTGGGCAGTCAGTATTTAATGGGTGTAGAGTCTCAGTTTTACAAGATGAAAAGAGTTCTTGAAATACATCTTGGTGATGGTTGTTCAGCATGATAAATGTGTTCTATACACTAAGTTGTACACTTAAAATGGCTAAGATAGTAAATGTTATTTAATGTGTATTTCATCACAATTTAAAAATTGGGGGAAAATAAATTCTTTCTGGCTTTTCGCTGCTCCCTATCAGGATGCATGGAGTTCTTTGTCTTCAGTAACTGTATGGAAAGGCAAAAGTTTCCCAGTGGAGAGTGAGAAAAGCTCATATTTTTCCATTTGCCTTAAAACCGTCTCCCCTGTTGTTACATACCAGAATGAGTTCATACATTGGAAAATGCCCTTCCATTCAGGGTGAAAGGCCACCAGGCCAACAGGTTACCTAGTGATGCTGGCTCCAGATCAACTCTACGGAGGAAGGCAGCTTTGGAGCAAAAGCAGAGGACTGCAGAGTCTTCTGTGGGAAGCTGCAGCCAAAGAATCCTCGGGCACATACAGCCTAAAGGTTGCAGAGCAGCAATGGGGAAAAATACACATTTCAAGGTAGACATCGGCGGAGAGGCTTATTCTTTTGAGAAATAAATTGCTACAGGGATGGAGGCATCCTCACTCCAGTGGCTTAAGAGCTGATTCCTCTGATCGTCTGCCACTTGTCTCTTTCTGACTTCAATTTATGGAATTATGCCCTTCTTAGAAATACCTCTTAAGGCATAAATATGAAGTTAAAAACAGTCAATAAAAGCACAAAACTATGAAAGCAGTTACCAGCACTACAAAATCATCTTTGAAACATGTAAGAGCTATCAATATCTCAAAGCCGCATCTATGAAAAAGAGTGTTAAAAATGTGTTGTGTGTGACGGTCAGGAAAGGGACAGTTTACTCCCAAAGCAAGACACAAAACCCAGCTACGCATCTGACCTCTCTCCCACTCGAACATTCTACTGTAAATAGGAGATGATTTTCTTCTTCTTTTAAATCAAATCTTAGTTAATTTTATTTCAGATGAAACAAGTCTCTTTGTAAAGACATGTTTAGTTAATCCAGTAGAAAGAAAGATGGAATGTCACTCGGAAACAGCTTAATTTGAGAAGATACTGGGTGTAAAAGATGTAATTACTTTCTAAGGAAAAAATTTGCCCAGTTTTAAAAGTAGAAGACTGACTGAGGAACATTGACCCCTATCTCATCCCCTTCTTGGTTTCCCAGGCCCAGAAGAGGGATGGAGCACAAAGTAATGTGTTAGGGGCTGACTCACATCTGCCCAACCCCTGCTAAATTGATAGGGTGAAGTCCTGTCCTCTACTTTCTCAGACTGTGCCTGCATTTGGAGGTAGGACCTTTAAAGAGGTGATTAAGTTTGAAGTCCGGTAGTGTGATGCCTCCCGCTGTGCTCTTTTTGCTTAGAATTGACTTGGCTATGTGGGCTCACTTTTGGTGCCCTATGAAGTTTAAGGTGGTTTTTTCCAGTTCTGTGAAGAAGGTCATTGGTAGCTTGATGGGGATAGCATTGAATCTGTAAATTACTTTGGGCAGTATGGCCATTTTCATGATATTGATTCTTCCTAACCATGAGCATGGAATGTTTCTCCATCTGTTTGTGTCCTCTCTTACTTCCTTGAGCACTGGTTTGTAGTTCTCCTTGAAAAGGTCCTTTACGTTCCTTGTTATTTGTGTTCCTAGGTATTTTATTCTCTTTGTAGCAATTGTGAATGGCAGTTCGTTCTTGATTTGGCTGTCTTTAAGTCTGTTATTGGTGTATAGGAATGCTTGTGATTTTTGCACATTGATTTTATATCCTGAGACTTTGCCAAAGTTGCTTATCAGTTTCAGGAGATTTTGGGCTGAGATGATGGGGTCTTCTAGGTATACTATCATGTCGTCTGCAAATAGAGACAATTTGACTTCCTCCTTTCCTATTTGAATACCCTTTATTTCTTTTTCTTGCCTGATTGCTCTGGCTAGAACTTCCAATACTATATTGAATAGGAGTGGTGAAAGAGGGCATCCTTGTCTAGTGCCGGATTTCAAAGGGAATGCTTCCAGTTTTTGCCCATTCAGTATGATATTGGCTGTTGGTTTGTCATAAATAGCTTTTATTACTTTGAGATACGTTCTGTCAATACCTAGTTTATTGAGGGTTTTTAGCATAAAGGGCTGTTGAATTTTGTCAAAGGCCTTCTCTGCATTAATTGAGATAATGATGTGGTTTTTGTTTTTGGTTCTGTTTATGTGGTGAATTACATTTACAGATTTGCGTACGTTGAACCAGCCTTGCATCCCCCGGGATGAATCCTACTTGATCATGGTAGATAAGCTTTTTGATGTGCTGTTGCAATCAGTTTGCCAGTATTTTATTGAAGATTTTTGCATCTATGTACATCATGGATGTTGGCCTGAAGTTTTCTTTTCTTGTTGAGTGTCTGTTGGGTTTTGGTATCAGAATGATGTTGGTCTCATAAAATGATTTGGGAAGGATTCCCTGCTTTTTGGATTATTTGGAATAGTTTCAGAAGGAATAGTACTAGCTCCTCTTTGTATGTCTGGTAGAATTCGGCTGTGAACCATCTGGACCTGGGCTTTTTTTGGGTGGTAGGCTGTTAATTGCTGCCTCAA